GTGATTTTTAGCCCCCCGAGGGCCCTAGGGTTGTTTTCTAACAAGTACCAATGCGAGTGTGGCCGAATTCGGCCGATAACGGCCGAAAACAGCCAACCCGAGGCGACTCGCCGCCGCCAGCGGCGGCGCCGTCGCCGGAGCACGGCGGAGCCGCCGTGCCGGAGTTGCGATTTGGTCCGAAAGGGGCCCTGGGCCTAATTTGATTTTTTTTGGAACACGTGCAGGTACTGTTAGTGTGTTTCAGTTCCCCGGGAAAAATTCAGGGAAAATTAGGGACGGCCTGCAGGCGCACTGTGAATCGTATTCGGATCCCGAAAACAAGTAAGGACCCCTCACCCTATTTCCTATCACGGTATTAAAGTTCAAAATGATAAAACGGTATTTCTTGAATTAACGCATGTGTGAAATTGCTTAAAGTTGCTAATGGAGCCCGAGTCTAGTGTGATTGATGATTTACTGTTATTTGGCCTGTTTTACAGCTTTAAATGCATTATGGGGTTTGATGTGTTCATTTTATAGTTTCGAATGCATATATTACTGTTTTATTAATTATGGGTTGAATGACTGAAGAACTGATACTGTATGTTGTCTGTTCGGCATGAATTACGATTTGCTTGTTTAAATGTGAATTGATGATGCTTATTGAGGAAAAGGGAAATGAAACATTGTATAGACTGATAATTGTATGATGGGGTCAGCCTGACTAGATATCCTGGGAGATGGTGGACGGACCGGGTCCGTAGGGAACCCTACCGGGATTGTGGTCTCACATGCCGGACGGGGTATGGAGATCTTATGGTTTTGGCGCCCATACCGGACGGGGTATGGGGACGGCCCGTTTCACCCTCATACCGGACGGGGTATTGAGGTTTATGGTTTTGGCGCCCATACCGGACGGGGTATGGGGACGGTTCTAGAAACTGATTATGAATGTTAAAGGTTAACGGGTAGCGGGACCCCTAGGGACCCCCATGGATACTAGTAGGCTGGTAAATGAGAAAAAGATATGTTGTACAATGATTGAATTACAAGAGGCGTGATAAGTGCTATGTTTTACAGCTTAGATTATTCAATGATTATGATAATGTTATTATTTTTCTTATATTGTTTTCATAAATTCCACCAAGGTAAGTGGATGGTAAAGGTTTTCATGTTAATAAACGAGTTTGTTGTAAATTATGCTCCATTGGTCTTTTTTGTGTTTTTCTACCCACCTTTACCTCTGTGACGGTGAGATATCGTGATGTTCTTACTGGGCTAGTGTAGCTCACTCCTTATTTAACCATTTCAGATCAGGAAGACATGGTTCCCGAGCCCGTTCCGCAGGAGGACGACGAAGGGGATGCCTAGAGACTCTGTAGTCATACTCATAGTTTTATTTTCGAGTTTCTCTCTTAGTTAGTTTAATCTTTTATATTTTAAGTACGTTTCTGGTTTTTCGTGTAAGGGATGTTAACTGAAATTTTGATCTCGCTTCCGCATTTGATATATTTAAATACTCATTTCATTTTAATGTTTCCGGGGCCGTTACAGTTGGTATCAGAGCCGCATTTCCTCGGACCCATCCCTTACACTATAGTCCTTTAAAGAAATACTCACCGATTGGTCGTTACTCACCCATTCCTTGTAAATGCAGGTACACAGAAATGAGGAGAGGAAGGCCCCCACTAAACCGAGCGGCCCAAGATAATTCGCTTCGGGAGGATTTGGACAGATTATATGAGATGGTGGAAGCTCTCGTAGCTGCCCAGCGAAGGCAAGAGGAGAGAAGGGAGGTACCCGGACCTCCTCCGCTAGCGCAGGTTGAGCCCCCGTTACAGCAGGCTGATCCCGAGCCACCCCGGCAGGAGCCTGTTCCTCCACAGTACCACCCGGCACCACAGCCGCGGTACGACCCGGTACCACAGCCACAGTACCAACAGGTACCGCCACAGCATATTCCAGTGCCCCCACCCCATCAGCAGGCGCCACCACAGGGTCCCCCAGTTCACCCTCAGCCGGCCCCAGTTCCTTTACCTCGGGACCCCGCTCCCTCCTTGATCGACCCCGGCTTCATAGAGAGGTACAGGAGACTGAACCCTTCTACTTTTTCAGGGGGATCCTCTTTTGAAGAGGCCCAATACTGGCTGGCGGAGACTGAGAGAGCCTTTGAGACCTTGGGAGTAATTCCTGAGCAGAGGGCTGCCATTGCCTCCTACATGCTGGTAAGGGAAGCAGTACGCTGGTGGGAGCTCAAGCGGGCCACCCTGCCTGTACCAGTTACTTGGGAGCAGTTCCTAGCGGCTTTCCATGCGGAGTATCTCCCTAAGCACATCCAACATTTAAAGGAAATGGAATTTGCTCAGTTGGTCCAGGGTAATATGACAGTGTCGGAGTATGCCCGCAAGTTCCTGGAGCTGGGCCGACATGCCCGGGAGACATTGTTGGATGAGGGCCGAAAGGCCAGGAAATTCCAGTGGGGTCTCCGCCCGGCGATCAGACAGCACTTGTTGGTGATGGAGCTCGAGACATATTCGGCAGTCCTGGCAAAGGCGCAGATCATAGAAAGGAGCTTCGACACCCGCCCTCAGCTAACGGGAAGTTCCCGACCTTCAGCCCCGCTCCGCAGGCCAGCGCCTACCATGCCTGTCCAACCCAGTAAGAGACCCAGGCCTGCCGTTCAGGGCCCTCCTCAGGCTATGGGGGCAGCTCGTGGGAAGATCTGCCAGTACTGCGGCAGGGATCATGGGGACCGACCCTGCTACCGCCTCAACAACACCTGTCGCATATGCGGCAGTGCCCAGCACTATGCGAGGGAGTGTCCTAGGAACCAGAATCAAGGGAGGCCTCCAATCCAGGGCAGAGTTTACAACCTTACCCAGAAGGATGCCGATGCAGACCCGGACGTGGTACATGGTATGTATACTATCTCTGGCCACATTGCTCATATTTTGTTTGATACTGGTGCATCACATTCTTTTATTTCACATGTTCTTGCTTCCAAAATTTGTGTACCACCTGATAGACTTGACTCATTATTGTTTGTATCTACCGCTGGGGGGGAGACATTACTAGGAGAGGTTGTCTACAGGGCATGTGCCGTGGAGATAGCAGATAGGAAATTGAGGGTAGACCTGATAGGGTTAGACACAGGGGATTTTGATGTAATCCTAGGAATGGATTGGCTGGCGGCGTATCACGCCACCATAGACTGCTTTAATAAAAAGATTGTATTTAATCCTCCCAACGAGGAGCCATTTACAAGTTAATAAAATTATTCGGTACTGATTCTCCCTAATGACAAATTCTTTTCTTCTTAATTCCCAGTGCGTTGATATTGTATTTTCCCTAACTAGGTAAACCCAAGAAGGAAGTTTGTATCCAAGAGATTCCAGTAGTCCGAGACTTTCCAGACGTATTTCCGGATGAACTGCCCGGTCTACCAGGGGACAGAGAGGTCGAGTTCACCATAGACTTACAGCCAGGAACCCAACCCATCTCGGTAGCTCCTTACCGAATGAGCCGCATCGAGATGGAAGAGCTAAGGAAACAAATCACTGAGCTACAAAACAGTGGCTTCATTAGACACAGCATTTCCCCATGGGGTGCCGGGATTACTTTTGCAAAGAAAGGAGATGGAACGTTGAGACTGTGTATTGATTATAGAAGGATAAACAAGGTAACAATTAAAAACAAGTACCCTCTCCCCCGGATTGATGACCTTTTCGATCAGTTGCAGGGTGCACAGGTCTTTTCTAAAATAGATCTACGATCAGGTTACCATCAGGTAAAAGTGAGAGCAGAAGACATCCCCAAGACGGCATTCCGAACCAGGTACGGACACTATGAGTTCCTGGTTATGCCGTTTGGGCTAACCAACGCCCCGGCCATCTTTATGGATCTAATGAACAGAATCTTCAGAGAGTTTTTGGATAAATTTGTCATCGTGTTCATCGAT